TATTTCATTTGAAATACAAAATGATAAGATTTGGTTATAAATATTTTCTGCAGTGGTAGATTCTAGATTAATCATGCTTAAATATCTCATACAAGGAATATTATTAATATATTTTCCACAATTGCTAAATATTTATTATTATCAATACAGTTGACTTCATCAATCATTATATTGAGGAGTACAATTCTTCAAAAAGTGATTTTTTTATTACAGAAGCTATATATCCAAAAAATCAGAAGCAGATTTAGGATTTGTATGGCTCCCATATGTTGATCTAGGAGTAGATGTTTTTTCTAAAGCAGCAGGTTTCAGAGTAAAAGTTTTTTCAGTAATTATTAATTTACTAAGTAATAAAAAATATAGTTCATTATCGCCGATTTTATTTATTTGCATTATAATTAATTAATTACTATCTTATTACCTCATCCTTTCATGTGACTGATCATTACATAACATGATTAAATAAGAGAAAGATCTTACAAGCTCTTACTTGAATGAGTAATCTCAATCTTAATTACAAGTTGTGGTCAATAGTTCTTGAAAATTCATTCTTACAATTTAACTGGTCAAAGAAGCAAAAATTCATACGTATATGGAAAGATTATTTCAACCAAATCATATTGAAGGAATATTAATTGCATATAGAAACGGTGATACCTCAACTCAACGTTGTAGGAGTGTAAAACCCAGTCGTTTCATTATTCAACAGAAAATACCTGATAGTTATAGGTGTAGATAATTACTGGACAATAATTAATCACTTTTTATACTTCATCCGCCCGTCGATACTGGGATAAAAATGTGTATTAATCCAATTAAGCTAACAACTATTTTGAACTTTTTTATTTGTACATATGTACTGTATATATATATATATTAACCAAATTTACCTATAGAAAATTTTTCAACAAAATTAAACCGAACAAAAAAGTATGAAATTAAATTAAGTTTAAAGGCTTCTATTTATTTTCTTATTTACTTGTTTACATCTGATTATTAATATTTATCAGAATAAAAAAGAATTTTCGACCAAAAATAATGAGCATGATCCTGATTGTAAAGACAGGTTTGCAATATCTGTCATTCAAATTTTATATTAAATCTGAAGCTTGCTATTTTTATTTAACATAGTATATATTTAAGGTTCATTGTGGATTCCGTATACTATGACGATTCAGATGCATTTTTGGTATACTTTACTCAAGAATCCGATGACATTTGTGATGAAGCAACTGGTTACCTCCTTGTCTGTTTTAATAATATTGGCAAAATAGCATCAATTCGTATAGCATCACCATCAAAGCATATCCGAGGGATAGCAAGCGAGGAGCCATCCTTTACACTCAATCCTACTTATGATGAGAAACGTGATGTATTTAAGATTAATTTTACAGATTCTGCTCCCATGACCACGTTCAAAAAAACTGAAGTTGAAGATGTCGAGCTGGAAATAGATAATGAAGGAAAGCTCGTTACATTGTTGTTTCACAATGCCAGTAACAAAATGTCAAACATATCAAAAACAAGTGTGTAAAGAGAAAAGACAGAGATATCATTATATAATCATTTAAAATTTTTTTTAAATAATTTGCTTTTATATTAATCGGGTAATTGTATTTTTGATATATAATAAAAAAATAAAACAATTCTGATTATAACTTCATAAGGCTCTTTTGGTTATCCACAATGTATCTGAATTTGAAGTTTTAACTTATTCAGTGAGACCCAATTCTCGAAGATGCTCTGGAATAACTACATGTGGGTCTTTGTAATACCAAATATACCTTAGTACAATCAATTCTCTTCACAAAATTCTTTTTTTAATTGATCCCAATATAACTGTTTGTTAAATCCATTCTGATCTCGATGAAATAATTCTACATAACGCTCATGTTGTTCTTGGACTTCAATTGCAAGACCATATTCTGGATAATAAGTGTCAAGCTTCTAACCCATATATGGATATTATGATGTTTTTAAGAAATCAGGTTTCTGAATTATTGATGGAGGTCTTAAATATTTGGTAATTACTTTTTGACACAGATCTTCATTTCAACAAAATGGACACCACCTCTTATGTTTTATATGATTCAAATTTGTGCTCCATTCATGCCTTTAGCACAATGCCATTTTTAACGGAACCTGGCAATTGACACACTTTTCTGAAAGGCAGTTACCATTTTTACTATAAGCAATTTGTTTAGCTTCTTCAATAATAGACAGAATATTACTGCACATGTGGACACCAGGTATTAGTATTTTTACATGATTTAAATTTGCATACCATGTGTGTCCATTGATACAAAGCTATAATAAAGGTAAACGAATATTAACAAATGTATTTGATAGTCACTCACCATTTCTATTATGCGCTACTTGTTTTGCGTCTTCAAGAGTACGATGGCCTACACGTGAACACCATGGACACCAATTTCCATTTTTTTACATTACTTTTCATTTATGGTTTTTAGCACAACTCCATTCTAGGGGAGCATGGGAATTGATATATTTATCCAAGAGACATAGGCCCTTTTGTTCTATTACAATTTCTCTAGCATCTTTAAGTGTAAGGAGTTTATTCCACACGCAATATGGACACTATGAATTAGAATTTTTATATGATTAAAATTTGCATGCCATATGTGTGTCCTTTATTACAACACCATTGCAATGGTAACATGCAGTTGATATATTGATCTGATAGGCACAACCCATTTCATTTCTTTGCAATTTCGTGTGCATCTTTTATAGTGTATTTGGTTTTGCGAGTCATTATGAATAAAAGTACTTTTGTTTTCTAATATTAGTAAATCTTTAAATTACACAAACTGCTTGGAGAAATTATAAGAAAAGACCCGAATCATTAGCATCTCAAATCTGGAATGCTTTAAGAAACGATAACACCCCCAATGATAAGAAATTTTTAGGTCTAACTCCCCGTAAAGTGAAAAATCCTCAAACTCGGGATCAATTCAATCTCTGGATTGCTGAGAAACTTGCAATGTATAGACATTACCTAGTATGTACAACATCTTTCGTGGTAGAGAATATAAAGAATATAAAGAATATTATATTCCGTATGATTGGATAGGTGATAAGAAATACCAATTACACGATAGATTGCATAAGCATGTTGTAGATTTGCTAAGAGAACGAGGTTACAGAATAATTAATTCCAGACCTTGGTATGAAATGTTAAAATGGGTAGATAAACCAGATAAATATCTTAACAAATTTCGTCAGAATCGAATAATACGTCACAACTATTTTACATTGATAGTTGACGATCAATATGCGGAGCATAGAGTCTCTGACTCATATTTTAATGGATTTTTTTTTGTACCAGATTCCCATGTAAACTGAAAATAGTTATTATTATTTGCAACATCTAGATTTAATGTCATTAAACTAATTTGGCCAAGTTCATAGAACATCTACATCGTGTAAATATGGTCAGTTGATGTCTTGTGCGACTATATGCAGGGATGCCTAAAATTGGATTAACCGCACATGTTTTAGATTAAAAGATTATATATATATTAATATATATTCCATAAATCATTATTGAAATTACAAGTTCAAAATAATTTGTTGTAACATGATTAAGAATTGAAGGCGTAACTTTCAACGAGTAATTCTTTTCCGTTTTTTTAGTAAACCATAGCTAAAATTTTGCAAGGAAATAAAATAAGTCTCAAAGAATGCGTGTACAAAATATCACGTTTCTGGTTAAAACTTCATGTGGGTGTGCTAGGTAACAAATGAAAAAGTTCCTTCGATTTTAATAGTAAAAATTGACATGTTGCACAAAATTCCTACATAGTTATTACAGTAGACATGTCGATCGCGTGAAATGTCGTCTGACTGATAGTAACAAAGATTTTAAAATCCGTTGAAACACGAATTTAATTATAATCCGTTGAAACGAAGTACATTGAAACAAGGGTTATATTGTAAATGTTTTCTTGTAAACGTAAGGTGTTAAGATTGTTCGGTCAGATATAAAGTGCTACATTTATTAACCAAAGTCATTATCATATTTTCACTTTGTTGTATTGTGTTATTGTTGCAAACGTACGGCTGACTTTAGTTGGTCAAAGAAAGAAGGAGCTTCAGTAAAGCAATGATAGAGCCACATTTTATTTATTGTACTATAAAATGTGCTTACAGACTCGTCGAAACTTTCTAGGAACAAGAAAGAGGCAGAATCAGGATAAATCGTAAGACAAATTAGTTGACGAGCAATAAATTAATCATTGAAAACGAGTGTAACCCATAAACGTAAAATAACCAAATTGACAAAAAAGCTATCTCTCAGTAGGCTTGTATGTGAGTTAAAAATACATTTATATTATGACATTATGACATTACGGCCTAGTTATGAATTGCTGATGAACGTTTATCAATTATTCAAGAGTTGTATAGGTGTGTGATTGAATTAAGTGTTAAAGACAAGATCTGCGAAGCTTTCAAAGCAAGTTTTGTAAAATATACTGATGAATTATTCGACAGTTATATAGGCGAGTTTGATGGAAGTAAGTGTTAAAGAGAAGATGTTCGAAGTTTCCAAAGCAAATTTTTCAAAATATACTCGGAAATGTCATGCAACTAATAATATAAATACAAGTATTTCCATAAAATATATGTTTGATACTAAGTGGGGAGGGGATGATAGGTCTATTTATACGCTTCGCACATTCTTTGATCAGTCTATTTTAATTACATCGAAATCACGTGAAGACCATTTTTGAGAAATTTTGAATTAAGGCTCCGTGCGATCCAGCTTGTGAGGAGGGGCTTTACCCAAAATATCAAGAATTTAGTCAGTAGTCAAAATCAACTCATTGATCAACTAGAAAAGGCAATTGATAATTTACAACTAGATATAAATAATAAAATATGAGATACAGAAGAAGCAATGACAAAATAAGGAGATGGAGAAAAAATAAAAGATTTAGAGAGTAACCGTGAAAATGAACAAAAGTAGACAAAGCAAGAAAACAATCAAACAATTAAAGAATGGTATTACTGAATTGAAAAACAATTAGGATATTTAAATGAAGACAAGGAAAATAACCCTGAAGGTAAAAATATTACTCAGGAACTTTAGAATAAAAGTTAAAGAATTACAACCAAGCAAAAAGAAATTATTCAACATTAAGAAAGGTGCCAAAATACTGGTCAGGCTGAAATGAAACAGCAAAACAAATTTAATAAATCCAAACAATTAAGTCAAGAACAAAGTGAAAGTTCAATATTGATGTTATTGAGGGTTGCCATTATGTACCCTGAAGTTTCTTTTCACTGAAACGTCATTTTGTGATGTCATCAATAAGATATTACCCGCACAATTTCTTTGCCACACAAATCCTGGTAAAAAAATGATCAATTATAATTTGAATAAAAATAATTTTATTTTCATTCTTGGAATAGCAACTTGTTACTTATCGTACTTGCTTCTTGACTGTTTAAAAACGTCATCTTGTTCAATCACTAATCTTGATGCGAAAAAATTGAAAACAACTGCCAAAGGAGATTTTAGTGATCAAACTTCTCATAAGAACATAATTATCAAGTTGTTAGATGTCATATTTTTTTATACGCCATCTATATTCATTAAATGGATAATTTCAAATTTTCATCTATTGTCGAGTTTTTTTGTGTTTGCAGCACTATTCGCAATCTTTGTTACCTATTTATTAGGTTGGCTTTCTCAATATATTATAGATGCTCTTGGTATTTCTGACAGGGAAAAATTAAACAACCACAAAAAACAAAAAGAAATTTCAAATATGAAAAAGGATGATGATGATGTATTATTAGGTGGATTGAATAGCAAGAATAACATTAATGAAGAAATCTCTAAGGATTTATTACTTGAAAAAAATTATGAAAAAAAAAATGTTAAAAGAAAGAATATTTTAAAATCAATTAATCAAGCACTTAAATGATTAATGGATCTATTTATCTGTTTATATCAAAGTAGATAGGAAAGTTGGTGTTTTATTAAATAAGGAATTTTTAAATAAAAAAAAATAGGCATCAAAATTTAAATATATGTAAGATTTGTTTTTCTTAAAATGATGATAAAAATTTTAAGACTTACAAATATTTATTTTTCATATTTTTCAAATAATTTTTAAATCTTTCCCTTGTTAAGCTTAACATCCATAAACCAGTTTCTTTAAAAAAACTTTTAGTTATTTTTTTAGGCTCATAAGTTCCTGCTATTATCCATTGATTTGGTCTGTCTCTTGTATTATAATTATACACAACATATCTTGTAGTCTTTTGACTGTAATTTTTATTTCCTGCAAGTATATTTCCAAATATATCAAATACTACTAAATTCTTTATATGTATATTTTTAAAAAATAGATTTATTTGTTTTAATAATAAAACAATAACGACGAATATAATAATAATAATTAATAATAATAGTAATAATAAAACTTTACCTCATCAATTTCAATGCTTAATATTACTTGAGTATATAAGGATGTTTTAGAATCCAGTACTATAGATGCAGCACGAATGCATTCAACTTTAGGTTCTATTTGGTCATAGACATTCCAATAATATGTTCCTAGATGTCGATTTAATAAATTTCTTTTTATAACCTAAAATTATGTTTTTTGATTAATTATTCTACATATATAACATTTTGGAAATTCTTTAAAATAATCATTAATTAAATACACGATAAAATTCTGGGGTAACAAGTTCCTCTATAGCTTCCAATTCACCGCTAAATTAAACAATAATTTAGGTTGTTAGATGCAATTAAATGTAATGAAAAAAAGAAAATTTTTAACAAAAAAAAATTTTATATATTTACCTTGCAAAATATTTATTTAGATCAATGAACTTTTTTGCAAGCATATTTTTATTAATTTTTCCATTAAGATAAAGTTTTAAACTAATTTTATAAATGCAAATCAAATCTTTAATTTTGTTTTTTTTTTTTTGGTTATTAATGTATGTATATATTTATGTATATGTATACTTTCTACGGTTTTCGAACCAATTATATAATTGATTTGATTTTGTAATAAGATATTGTTTTGAATATATTGGATCGTTAATTGGAAGGTTAACAAAAGGTTCTTTATAAAAAATTTTCCCCAAATAAAAAAAAAAAAAAGTTATTATTAATATCATAAAAAGACAGAAAATAAAAAACTATAATTACTTATAATTATGGACTCTGTATATGGTTGTTGAGTTGGTTGTGAAGCAATCGTTGAAACATTAGAACCTTTAGTTCTTTTAAGAATGCTTGGAATCACATAATTTAAATTTGCTCCCAATTTTTTTATCATTGCTAAAATTTTTCAAAGAGCAATCATCAAACATGTGATAAACATCGCTATTTCTTTTTTTTTTTTTTCAAAGTTTTTAAAAATAGAAGTTTTTTTATTCTAGTTGATTGATAAAGCTATGTGGTAAACTTATATGTATATATAGTGCAAATAAAGATTCAATGGGAACACTACAAGAAAAATGTACTAAGAGTAGAGAATATGACAGTTTAACAGATTTTATAGAGATATATATATGTGTATGTATATATATATATATATATAATATAGAAACTTTATTTTCTAGGTTTTTTAACAATTAGAACAGGACAATGTGCATTATGTTGACAATATTCCGAAAAACTTCCTAAAAATAATCTTTAAATATATAAATTTAGTAATCTTTTTCTATAATAAAAATTTTTTTTAAAAAAAATAACATTAACCAACCTTTTCCACAAAGTCAAATCTTTACTTCCCATAACAAGTACATCAACTTTTTCATTTTCAGTATAGTCAACTATAAGATTACGCGAATCTGATTGGGTTTTTATTATTTCAACTTTACAATTTATCTATCAAGTAAAGTATTTATATCAATTAATTGGATGTTACTATATGATTATTATATATTTATTATGTACATTAGCTGCTTTGAGTTTTTCAACAAATGGTTCCATTGATTTTCGCGTTTTTCCTTCAATCTCCAATAATTATAATAATAATTAAAAATTTTATATAATAACTACTACTATGACCAAATAAAAAAATAAAATGAAAAATTTTTTTACTTCATTTTCCCATTTTTTAACATATTCAGGAGCATAATTAATGTTCATGCCTACAATTATTATCATTAAAAAAATGTATTATTATAATCAAATAACTATATAAACTATATATAATGGTTTTTTTTTACCCAAATCTGTTACATCGAAATCTGAGTTAAGGTATAAAGCAGAAACCAAGTGTACGTCATCTCTATCAGGTTTTAAGAAATTTTCTATAATCCAATCTATTGTGTACTCTGTTTCTTCTGAACCTGGATCTAAAGCAACTGCT